GATTTAAACACCTCAACTCCTCACACAAAGACTGTCTACACAAGAACACTCATTGCCTTATTTTTAGAATAACATTATTAAAATAACTCACTGAGGCAGTGAAAGTCATCTGCAATTTCTGCCATGTGGTGACACTTAATGAATGACAACACCTGTTATTTCCAGCACACCCATCAGCATCATTCCTCCCTGCTCATTCCTCGATAGTTGGGTGTCTTCTCTGCCATGAGCCTCTCCAGCCCACGCAGAGCACCCAAAGGCCCAGGTATTCACCACGAACTGAACAGCAATGTGAAAGAGGCAATTCAATGAATCCCAGGTCCAGTGATCATGTCAGATCAGTGCCTTCATTTGCCTTGCACACAGTTTCTTTTACTTATTGTCAGCTCTGAGTCCCAGCTTAGCAACGCCAACCCACCTACTTCTCACTCCTTCAAAATCTCCTGTGAATAAAACAGACCGTGGTTTGTCGTCCCCTCATTAATAAGGCTCCAAGACAGCTAAGGGAGGAAAGCTCTCTGTATACGACCACAGCTAACAGCGGTGTCATTAATTTAATAAAAATGAGACACTAGGGAAACTCCAGAACATAAAAGCGTTATAATAAATGACAGAAAACGTACTCTGGAGAAACGAAACCACTGAACTAAGATGATCACTGAACTCGGGATTGATTAAATCGCTTCCGTCACACATTTCCACGCGTTTACTTTGACTTGCACGTCCGCGGGAGCGGCGCGGGAGGCGCAGCCGGTCCCGGCAGGGAAGGGGAGAGCCGAGCCGAGCCGAGCCGAGCCGAGCCGAGCCGAGCCGAGCACCGGCGCGAAGGGAGCGCGGACCGAGCCCCCGGCCCCGCAGCAGCAGCGGCTGCCACGGAGCGCTGCCCAGCGCCCCATCTCGCACGGCAGAGCCAAACAGCCACCAAAGCGCCGCCAGCCGCGGTTCGCTCGGGTCCCTCAGCCGGGGGTCCCTGAGGGTCCCTCAGCCGGGGGGGGCGGGGCCACACCGCGCGCGCCAGGCGGGGGCGGGGCCAGCCCGACGCGCGCCCCGCCGCGGTTAAAACCTCCCGGCCCCGCGCTGCGCCTCCTCCCCACCAGCCCTTCCCGGCCCCCGGTCCCGCGGAGCGCGGCCCGCCCGCAGCGAGAGCCGGGGCCTCCCCCACGCCGCCCCAGCGCTCCCTCCGCCCGAGCGGCCCCGGCCCCGCACCTCGCGCTCAGCCCGCCCGCCGCCATCTTCGCTCCGCTGTCACGTGACCCAGGAGCTGCCGCCCTCACCGCGCCGGTGTCACGTGGTGCGGCACAAGCCCCGCCCTATCCCGCCCTCGCATAGAGGTCATGTGACTGGCGGCGCGGCAAGATGGCGGCGTCCTGCGAGGTGGGTGCGCGGTCGGGCCGGGGCCGCAGCTCCCAGCTGGAATCGGGAACCACCCGGGAGCACCTCCGACACCGCCCGCGGGCGGATGTCGTTCCCAGTAGCGGAGGCTGGGATGTGGGTGTCGTGGTTGAGGGGGACACGAGGTGGCGGCGAGCAGCGTAGAAGGACAGGGCGCGGGTTGAGCGGCGTCCACAGCGCTGCGGGGTCGCGGGGGAAAAGAGGGAGCAAGCAGGGGCTGCAGCCCGGATGTTTGGCAGCACGTCAGTGGGAAGCTTCCCCGCCCTGAGCAGCCGGCATGCGGAGCAGCAGACGGGCAGAAAACGCTGGGTCCGGCTCGATCCGCCGGGCAGTGGGTCCCGTTCGATGATGAGAGCGGCAGTGCCGAGGAGCTTCACATTACCTGAAAGAAGGTGCGGAGGAGGGGAGTGCGGCAGGCACAAGAAAACGAAATAACTCAGCAGTGAAATGCAGATTGTCAGGTCTAAACATTCAGAGCCGCTCCATCAGAGACCTCAGGCAGGGTGAAATTCTGCAGCCCGGCGGGGAAGCTGTACGTGCCATCGATACGGGAAATGGGGTACAATCTTAAGGTTGCCAGACTGAGTAGGAGGACTCAGTCTTTGGTTGGCAGGTGGCATTTACTCTGCTTCTTCTCATGTAAGCCTTAGGCTTCCCCCTCCCCAGTCCTAAGAAACAGCAGGGAGTACAATCCAAAAACTGTTATTGGTTGGAGGCAGATATTGCCCATGCCAGTTCTGTTTTATTGACTGTATGATTAATTCGTCTGCTGTTTAAAAATTAATTGCAATGACAAAAGATTACATTTGGCCTGAAGGAGCTGTGTAGCAACAGTGCATGTAATGAAGGTGTTTGGCAATCAAGTATTTCAGGCTATGTGAATAAGGATGCCAAAAAGCAATCCATCAGTAGGTTTTCAGTACAAAGTTATAAATATCTAAACACTACAGATACACTAAGGCAGTTTTACAGTACAAACTGTAATAATTTCTCAGTAATATTGCTATTACTTTGTCAGCTTTGTAATCTGGTGTCACCATTCAACACTGGCTGAAAACCCAAAAGAGAACCTTAAATAAACTTCTGGTCTTCCATGAGGGAGCTGGTGTAGATACGGGCATTGAGACTGGGGGAACAGAATTTAGTAAGACTTTGCTGCTAATCAGCTTAAGGATGGTCCAGAAAGGATAAAGTAAGCCCTTTTCACAGCTGGATCAACAATAATATTTCCAATAGAAATAAAGAACATGAGAACTTCAAAGACCCCAGAAGAGATGCCAGTGTAATGGTAGAGGTTTACATATGGCCAATTATCAAATTATGTGTATCCATAGAGAAATCAAGGTCACCAGAAAGCAATAAATGCTGGTGAGAATTGCACAATATTGTCAATGCCCACAATTCTTTGAAGGAGATAAGACGAGATTTAACCTAAGAGAGTAAATGTGCCTGTTGTTGATTATCTTAAACTTTTGGACTGGAAGGTAAGCAGTTAAAGCAAAGCGGGGTTTGCAGCTGTCAGTGAGCTGTAAGCCTTCGCTTAGAGAAGATGAACTGCAGGATTTACTCACCTCACTTTTTTTTTTAATTCATCTGTGTGTTGACTCTAGCAATCAGCACTTAACTATCAGTTTAAATTGAGTTTAAGAAGCAAATAGCTGTGCAAACACTTCAGCTGTCCAAGTAGTTGCTTTAATTGCCTTTTTTTTTTTTTTTTAATAGCACTTGCAGTAGCATGGAAGGGAATTTTTCCTAACGGACAACTGAGCACGTCGGGACCAGTGAAGTTCTGCAGGCTTGAGGCAGGCTGGGCTGGAGTCATGTGGAACAAGGCAGTGCTGGTGGAGTCGCTGCTGGTGTTCACCGTGGTGCTGGCGGTGCACGCGGTGGTGTGGGACCGCTTCTCCTGGTGCGCCGTGGCCTTGGCCGTCCAGGCCTTCTACGCCCAGTTCAAATGGGACCGGCTGCTGCAGCAGGGGGGGGCTGTGTTCCAGTTCCGGGGGGCAGCCAACAGCGGGCTCCTGCCCGCCAGCATGGTCATCCCGCTGCTGGGGGTGGTGATGAAGGAGAGGTGCAGGGCTGCCGGCATCGTCTACTTCGAGCGCTTTGGCATCGTGGTGGCTTCCACGGGAATGCTGCTCGCTCTCTTCCTGTCCGTCTTAGCGGTTGGCATCACCAAACCTGTGCCAACCAACACTTGCATCCTGACTGGTGTTGCTGGCAGCGTAATTATCTACACCATGAAACATTCCTTGACTGTCTCAGAAGTGATAGAGGTTCTGGAAGTGCTGCTCATTTTCGTCTACCTCAGTATGATCTTGCTCTACTTGTTGCCTCGATGTTTTACTCCCGGGGAAGCGCTGCTGGTTCTCGGAGGTGTAAGTTTTGTTCTCAATCAGCTCATTAAACGCTCACTGAATGTAATGGAGGGCAGAGGGGATCCCATTGACTTCTTCCTTCTGGTAGCAGTTGTTGGAGTTGTTCTTCTTGGTCTTTTTTTCACTGTGCTCTTCATTTTCATGGATTCGGGCACGTGGATCTCCTCCATGTTTTTCCACATGATGACAGCAGTGTTAGGCTTAGGGGTCATCATGCCTTGGCTGTACCGACTGATCCAGAGGAACCCTTTGTTCTGGCTGCTCCAGTTTCTGTTTCAGACACAGACAAGACTTTACCTCCTTGTGTATTGGACTTTCTTGGCTGCCTTAGCATGTGGGGTGGTTTTCTACCAGAATGCCAAGAGATCATCTGAATCTAAAAAACACCAGGCCTCGACTATAACCAGGAAATATTTCCACTTCATTGTTGTAGCTACTTATGTTCCTGGACTAATTTATGACCGCCAGCTCCTCTACATTGCTGCAGTGCTGTGTCTGGCAGTGTTTATCTTCTTAGAGTACGTCCGGTACTTCAGGATCAAACCTTTTGGACAAACCCTGAGGCATTTGCTCTCTCTCTTTTTGGATGAAAGAGACAGTGGACCTCTCATCTTGACTCATATTTATCTCCTCCTTGGCATGTCCCTCCCAGTGTGGTTGTTTCCCAGATCGTGTGCTCCTAAAGGCACCTTGCCTGGGGCAGGAGCACTGGTCCCCTACTCTGGGGTGTTGGCAGTAGGGGTAGGAGACACCATTGCCTCTGTTTTTGGCAGTACAATGGGGGAAATCAAATGGCCAGGAACAAAAAAGACCTTTGAAGGGACAATGACAGCTATTTTTGCTCAGATCATTGCTGTGGCTCTCATTCTGATCTTTGACAGCAGTGTGAATCTGAACTCCAGCTATGCCTGGATTCTGGCATCTGTGAGTTTGGTTTCTCTTTTGGAAGCTTACACTACTCAAATTGATAATCTGCTGTTGCCTCTCTACCTCCAGATCATGCTCATGGCATAGAAGCACTTCCAGGAACAGAGTTTTCTTCCTTCCTAGAGAAAGGTACTGGAAAATGCACTTTAATGAAAGCTCAAAGGTGATGTTTTGGTACAGCAGAGAAAGCTGCTGAGAACAGAAATGAGAAAGACTCATTCAAAAAAGGTCTTGATTTGGCCTTGTTCTTACCCCTGTCAAAAATAGACGGATTTATGTTCTAACAGCAACAAACACAACTGATAAAAGCAGCACTTGTGTTTAATAATCCAATTTAAGTTTCTTCTGGGTGCACAAGGGAAGCAGAGGAAGAAGAGGTAAGTCAATTAGAGGGGAAAAAAGAAACAAGCAAGTCTCTCAGATGTTGCTATCTCTGTACTGTACCTTGTTTTCTGTACCGAGTCTTGTCTTGTGTTTGATGTGTGAACTGTCATGTCTATATAAGCACGATGTAAAGCATGTTTGATAACGAGGGGGGGCACAGGAACCAGGTACAAGTGTCCAGCTATGTCCAGTCCTCATCAGCAAGAGCCAAAACCACACCACGATGCACAAACACAAATCCAAAATCACTAGCTGCCACAGCTGAGTTATCCAGGGTGGGTGGGTGGTGAAGGTTTGGGGATGTCAGACACTGCTCATTCCAGACCATACAAATAAGAATAGTGAATCTTCAGCCCTGAAGTTTGCTTCAGCAAGAAAAATGTTTTATCTTTCTCAAGATTTAATATCCAAATTAACTTGGAATGAATACTGGGGGGAAGGGGGGAATTAAGCTAAGTCACAGCTAAAACAAATTACACATTAATTCTGAAAGCAGAACATCTGTCAAAGTCAATAAAATTTTCTACTATTACACTTTCCTACTTTCCACTTTTTTTTCAGCCAGATGTTTAATCAAATAATGTATAAAAATGCTTCTATCAAGAAATTGACTAAAGCTACTGAATTCCATCCATTTAATTAAAGTTACAACTACCATTTTGTGGCCAAAAAACCCACTTCATTTCTATCTATGAAACCTTCTGTATCAACAGTCTCTTCTCACTGATTTGCCCAGTGTCCATTAGAACAAAACTCAAGTGTCCTTCCTGTCTCCAGGGATGTGTCCAAGGAGGAGATTGTCATCCCAGGCTTCTAGTTTGCATCATGAAGTTCACTTCTGACCCTTTTTTAATTCACTTTTGGGAACAGTCTGGGGGAAGTCCAAGGCACTTTACCCAACACTGTCCTGCAGGCCTGTAGCTCTGAGGCCATGCCAGGGGAGGGAGCCTAAGACCAGGGGTGGAGTGAAACCAGTCCCTGAGGCAGCAGAATTAGCTCCAGAAGCCAATACTGTGTGTCCCTGCAACAAGCCAGGACTGGAATAGCTGAGCAGCAGCATTGCCCAATTCATCCTCCTGCCTGGGAAGGGCTCCTGGGATTTGGGGCTGCTTTTCCTGAGGATGCCACAGCTGGTTACTAACACAGTAAATTGTCAGGTACTCTGTAGGAAACCAAACTCAACAACTGCTGGGCTGTTTCCTTCACATTTAACAGGAAATCCTGCCAATCAATCCAGTTTTTTTTATTTTATTTACGCACTCAAAGTAGATGGTTTTGGTGCTCGTAGTGTGCAGGACAAATTATCCTTCCTCAGCAAAATTCTAAAAAAAACTTGAGTTGCTTCTGTCACAAGCCACAGCCTTCACCACTGATGTCATAAATTGCACCAGCGGAATTTGCTTTCATTCCACCCTGCTTCCAACTTTCAAACAAACTGTAGGAAAAGTAGTTTTTGAATGCAGAAACTTTGCATTCAATGTTCCTGCTGTTGCCATGACCCAGCTCCCCAATGTACTTTTGAAAGGGATGAGTCAGTAAGATTTGGGTCCACTCTACCATGGCCCTCAGCAGCCTTAGGGTTACTCTGATATAATTTCTGTATTTGTAACACTGGGCTCCTATCTCAGGGCTGCCACTGCACCAGTGCTGGTGAAATCACACCTACACAGCTTCTGTTCAGTTCAGGATACAGACTGGAGCTTGCATTTCCAAACATTCCTTGCTATAAGTTGGTTTGGGTTTGGTGAGATTTTGGGCATAGAAATTATTCTTGTGCATATTGAGAGTTCCAGCTGCTCACCAGACAATTTGCACTGTCCCCATCTGTTGGAAGAAGGTCACACTGTGTCTTCCTCAAAGAAAAGATGGAGATGAAAAGAAGAATTTCTATCTTTGTATTTAAGTGTAAAGAGTTTGATTGAGGTTCTTTGTTTCCATCATTTCAACATGAATCTTTAAAAATTGTGGTATTTTTGATCACACTAAGAGATAAAACACTCAGCTACTGTCTGCCAGGAGTATTTGGAAGATTGATTATAAAAAGCAGACCTCTTGCTTCATTTCACCCACAAGATTGTTTTATATCACTGTTATTCCAACAATAAGACAGAAAACTAGGGGTGAAAATCAAACATCCCCCCACAACATGTTCACCTGCATTGCTGGAGTCAACCAGCCAAGAAATGCCCTTACGCTCTTAAACACAGGAAAATACTGAGTATCTACAAGGAGAAGTACTTGGTAAGTGGTCCCAGTCAAGGTGCAATGGTGTTCACTGGTTTGTTTTCAAGACTGAAGGTGTTTCCTTACCAAAAGGACTGGGTGACTACTCTCATACTGGCAGGGCTCCTGCTGCAGAAGCTTCTCTCTACCACAGGTTTTGGGCTGTTATAATGGTCCTGGTTTTGAAGAGGAGGATAAATTAACATTGAGAGCTGATCTAGTGAAGGTTGCTTTTAAAGAGACTGTGAGTGAACAATCAGAAGGGAATATTGATCAGCTATTGACTCCACAAGCCAGTCAACTAACTTCAAGTGTAGAGCGATGGAAAAGGCAGCTCAGGGGTTGGCTGGAGCCTAGGGAGTAAAGAAGAGGAGAAAGCAAAATTTCAGGGGCTATTCCAGATCTGCAGGTACAAAATCAACGCCAGCTGAGGCACTACCAACAAACTGTACAGGCAAGACCCCCAACAGTTATCCTAACTATTGCACTGGAAAGGCTTCAATTTGCTCAGCCACTGGTGAGGATCACAACCTTACCAGTTCTCTTTGCTCCAGGTGGTGCCTTTGGCTTCCATCACGTGGAAGGTGAACACGTGGCGAGAGGACTCCGAGCTGTTGAGTTCACTCTTATGGACAACCTCGCCATGGATGAGGATGAGTCCACCTGTGGGAAAGAATCACCTCGACTGCTGTTTTCCAAAAGATGATCTCTGGCTTTCAAGTGAGAGGGAAGGTGCAGGGTTAAAATATTATTTTAGATCCCTTGTGTTTTCTCAAGCTGTGAAGCACCACGTTTGGGGCTATTTGTACCTTTACTTATGGGCAGAGGTATGAACTGCTTGTCATCGTAGGCTGGCTCTGAGCCAACAAACTCTACACATGTTGAGGCACCTGAAGGTGCACGGACCATCCTCCTGGTAATCCCATCTGCAAATCAACAGAATAAGCAAACACACAACAATTAAACACCTGGCTACATTCTGCACAGCAAAGGAACACTAGCAGTGATTTCTCTTAGCAATGATAGGAACTTTATTATTACTATATTCACACTTCCCTTAGTAATTTGGGTGGGGTCTTTTTCATTAAGTAGAGATTGAGGGTTTCCCAGCTGTGGCAGAAACAGATAAAACAGCTGCCATTTGTTTGCCTTTTTGGACCTTCTGTGCTTTGCAACAGACCCTCAGGAACACAAATAGTCACACACTTATGCAAAATCAACATTTGATCCATTTGTGCTTTCTATAGGAGCATCAACCACGATATGCGTACAGTTGGCTCCAGGATTTGAGGAATGAGTAGCTTAAAACCTGAAGAGCATTATGATTACACTCACTGAGTGAATCTTTAGGTGAGCAGAAGTTTTAAAGCTGCACTGTGTGCTCTAGAGGTGGGGAAAAGCAGAACTGTGCTAGTGACCAGCAGTGGTCACGCACATGCTCTTACTGGTGTGAGAGCCAGGGATGAACCACAAGCAGCCATTCTCCTGTGTGGCATCTTCCAGGGCAATCCAGAACCCCAGGATCCTGCCCAGGGGCTCCGTGTGCAGGAAACTGGCATCCTGGTGTGGTGTCACTGCAAGAAGAGACTGTCATTGGGGTCTTTAATGGGATTCAGTTCTTCTAGAAGGACTTCAGGGTTGCATCTCCCTGACTCAGAGCCCTCCCCTGCCCACCCACCTATCACATACATTAAATCTTACATAAAAATACCACCTTTTAGCCTGCTGCAAACATAAAAACAGCTCTTTGTTCAAGCTGCGTATGACATAGAAACTTTTCTGGAAAAATGTGGATTTCAAAGATTATTTTAAGAAGGTTTGAACCAGCAAACTCACAGATTTAAGTCTGATTCTGAGCTTTTTCCCTGGTACTATTCCTTTCCTAAAGGAGCATTTCCTGCAGTGTGATATAGAGATAACACAAATCTCACCTTCACCACCAATGCGAGGTTGCTGCAACAAAAAAAAAAAAAAAAAAAAAGTGATGTGTGAAGAATTTCACAGCTTCCCACTTAACAGGGTCTTATTTCTTGAATGACAAGACAACTTGAGTTACTATACCTTGAAGATATACATGCTCTGCACAACTACTGGTCTCTCAAGGCCTAGTTTTCTTCCCAGTTCCTGCCAGAAAATTTTCCAAGATTTATGTTTTCTGCACACTATTTAACATCATTCTTTGAAGATATTTACATTTCCTTTCACTGACAAAACTACTCCCCTGGGAGTGTAGAAAACTAAAATTAACTACTCCGCATTTTTTTTCCCCAAGCCCATTCTAGGAAGCAATAACAGCTCACCTGCACCTTGGGAGAGTGGGTGATTTGCTTGAAGACAGGATCGTAAGCGTGTAGAGCTAAGGGGAAAGACAAGGCTCAGCCAGATTTCAGAAAAAGAAGGGAACAGCTCTCAGTGATGAGCTGCAGACACCACAGCCAAGCAGGATAAATTGCAGCCAGGAACTTTCATCCCTCCCAAGATGGATAAATGTGACTTATCACACCTAAGGTGATAAGACACTTACAGGTTGTACGATCATCATTAAAGATCCTAAATATCATCATTCCCTGGCCACAAACTGCACAAACATATAAGCCAGTGTATAACAGAGTGAACAAAATGGAATATTGTATGATTCAGTATTATATTACACAAGTGACAACACATGACCCTGAGGCATATGGGTGAATTCATCCTTTAAAAACACACCTCTTAAGACCTACCAGAAAAGTGAAGTGTTGCAAAAAGGAGCTAGAGCTCATCTTTGGTGTCCTTCAGAGAGCCCCAACCAGCAGGTCAGAGAGTGTGTGTGTGTGTGTAGACTCTTGCTACAACACAGCTCTGACAAATGCACAAAGCAAAGACTCTGAGTTGTGCCTCCAGCTCATCCTGATCAGATTTGCCACGAGGACACATGCTCAAGTCCAGCAGGAGCTGCTCTCAGGCAAGGGATGAGACTTGACCAAAATTAGTAATTACAGAAATTAAGACTAGAGAAGGCTTTTGCATTGTTAAATTCCTGGGTCAGCAGGAATCTACAGTTGTTTTCACTTCCCTTGAGGAAAAGCTGAAGTGTGACAGAATGGCAGTGGGCCGGGGAAGAGGAGAGTGTTTTTCTGAGAAAACCAAAGAACGAGAACTCTCTGTACTGAATTTCCAACTGTAGTGAAATTTAGTTTGAACAAAGTTCACATTTGCAGGCACAGGGAATCCTGCTCTCATTTTTCATGTATTGTTGGAAAACAAAGGGATCAAAATGTAAGTCCAGGAACTGGGAGAGAAGAAATAGGTCAAACAGACTAGTATGGGTAAAGAAAAGGTGTTGGTGACACCACAGGAGGAAGGACAGCTTCAATATCAGCAACCCAGCATGGCATAGGACATAGGAGAGAGTTTGGTCTGTACTGAATGGCACCAGTCTCAGGTGGTAAATTTTTAGAGCAAATCTGTTACATAAAAGAGCCAAGGGCTGAAGTCCAAACTTTTGCATGTCAGTGACTCTGAGCTATTCATCACTGAAAAACCTCTGAGAAGGGGTTTTTGAAAAGGATTAGAACAGAAGATCCAGTCCTCTGAGAGCAGAGAGTGAGGGGCAGCATGGAGAGAATTGCAGAGACAGTTATGTACAGTGAGCAGGTCTGGAGAAATCCTCATGTCTGAAAACCACCTCTCTTTTGTCCATCCCTCTCCAAACCCCATACTTTAAACATACCATGGCCAATCTTGCTGACAGACTTCTCCTTTGGAATTAGAAAGTTACCTACAAAAGAGAACCATAATTTAACATTGTCTGAAAAGCAGGAATCATTCACTGAGCTGGAAACTGGCCCCCAATCCCTCACTCAGCTTTTCCCCATCCCCTCTGTGTAGCTAACTCATTGCAGGGCTTACCTTTCTCATCCAAAACACCTTTCTCAAAAAAGAATCTAATCTTGTCTCCACTGGTTAGGAAATAATCCGAGCTACCCTGCAGGGATAAGAGCCCAGTAAAGACAGCATCCTTGTAAAAACATAAATGAACTTTCAATCAAAGCATTAACACTCACCTGCATCTTTTTCCCACCAAGCCGCAGCATAAGCAAAACACAGTGAAAAATCACTCAAAAAGGCTTTCCACAACACTACATGTCTTTGTGTTGATCAGGGCTTTACAAGAACCTCTCACATAAAGGTTACCCTTGCTTTTTTTTTTTTTTGCTAGCTGCCTGGAAAATAACCAGTTTTCTGTCTGCAGAACATGTACAAAGTGATCTGGGAGAGCTGCTTGTGGCTACCAGGGGTTGAAAGCACAGCAGAGCCGCACATTGATAAGACTCTTGATAAGACCCCAGCAAACATTTGCAAAAAGCTGGAGAGCAAATTCCTCTCCCGGTCTTATGTTTAGCTAGAAGGAAGAGTCACGTTCCCGCAGAGTGAACCCTGATCAGCAGTTTGCCTTTTCCCTTCCTATTCCCAGCTCTCCAACAGGGCTGCCCTGCCCTCCTCGGTACCTGCTCCTGGACCTGCTCCTCCTGCCTGGTGGAGAAGGCGGTGCGGCAGTGCGGCGGCACTTCCATCTCCGCCACGATTCTCTGGATCTGGCTCCTCATGCTGTCACACTCCTCTGCACTGAAAAACTGCTCCAGGACAAGGAAGCCATCCTTGTGGAACTGGAAGAGACAGGGTGACTGCTCTTCCCCAGAGTCCTCGGGAGAAGCAGCACAAGAGGAAACAGGTCTGGCCCTTTATAGGGTGAAGAACATCCCAGCTCCAGCTCTGCAGCTAGGCAGCATGTTCTTAATTTTTAGTTTCAGGAGGGGCTTCTATTGCAAAAGATTAATTAAGAGGCTGAAATTCCAAACAGTTAATAACAATCTATTTCAATCCCTCAGTCTACTCAAAACAGAGAAGATCTCATCACTAGAGCCTTTTGTGGTTCAAGGATATCTTATCTAATGCCTGTAACCAGCAGCTATTAAACTCCCAAGCCCACTAACACAAACAGGGCAGTCATGCCTGTGCACCAAATCAGAACGAGATTCCTTTACAAGCCATAAAGCTTTGTTCTCTCTAAGGAAAAAAAAAAATCCCTGGGTGATTTCTGACAGTTCACTACACAATCCTTTACAAGTGAACTCTCCTGGCAGTGAACTCCGTTTCTTTATATAGAATACCCTGGAGATTATCCTTTGCCTGGAGGATTTCAAGTTCAGGGATGAGAGCTGAGCAATACAGACAGAAGGGGCACAGGAGAAATCCATCCAAGAGCTCTGTGGGACAAGCTACCCCCAGGAAGTTTGCAGCCATGACACTCACACACTAAAATCAACGTAATAGAAGAGGCTGAGGAGAATATGAAGTGTTTGTAAAGCAGATCTTTGCTAGACCTGCTGCCAGGTTAACTAGCAGTGACTGTCTTACACACTGGGTCACCTGCCTGCACTCTGGACACGCTCCCTCCCTGCAGAGCAGCTCCTTACCTTCTGGATCTGCTGCTGGGTTACAGATGCCATCAGGGCAGAAGCTCCCACCTCCAGCACAGCAATGCCACCTGGGCTCTGCAGGGCTGACTCCCCGCCTCTCCACGTGATCCTTGTCCCAGCATGTGATAAAAGCCAGCACTGGGCAGTTGGACTCTTGCACAGCTCCAGAGGTTTTTGTCCCCATCACCAGTTCTTTGCTCCGGGCTGGGACATTCAGGACTGCACAGTATTGCTTTGACTCTTAGTGGTAACAAAGCACACAAAAGTTTTCTATTCAAGTGTAATCACAACTTGATGAACATCTGAGCTCCAAGGAGGAATTGCTTTTAATTAATAACCCAGATTTAAAAGTAAGGCAGTTAAACTGGTAATCACAGGGGTAAGTAAGATAAGGGAGAGTTAAAATAAGATTCAAGTGTGAAGAAAAGATCAAGATGTCTTAGAACAAATTTAAAGTACTGATTCAAGGTCTTACAGAGCCCTTTTTGCTTAGTCAGTGAGTCTTGCCAGCACTTCAGCATATCCTCTGAAAGGGCTCCCAAGCCCAGGAGGTGACAGACTAAAATGTGGTAAAAAGCTGTCACTGAGGGTTTGGTAAAACCCATAGAGAATACTTCTGCTATTTTCATTCACAACTGCTTTTGGTCATTTACACCTTCACCTGCTCTGTTCACTCTCCTGCAGCTCCAGAAGTCCATGTAATATTTACAAATAAGTAAAGCCAAATCCACCCAAAGTTCAAAGCAGAGAGGGAAAATTCAGAAAGTGGGTCTAAAAGGCAGAGAAGGAGCAACAGTTGCCAGCCCAGTGGTGGCGCTCCCAGCCAACACATCCCTCCCATCGGGAATCCCTGGGGAAGGGTTTTCTCTCCAGAAGAAAATGTGCTTGGCTCCTACAGGAAACACCGAAAACACCCTTGCAGCAGCACTTCACAAAAATAACACCATGGGGGCGTGTTCTTGCATCATTCACCCAGCCAGAGAAAAACCCAGCAAACGGGAGGAATGCGAAATGCTCAAAGAAAAGAGTTTACATCCTAGCAAATGAAAATCCATTTAAAGAGAGGTTGTTTGAAAAAAATTAAGTTTTCTATTCTGTAAGGGAATTGTGGATAAAATCCCTCTGCACCTTACTAAAACTTTTTTTTTTTAATAAAGAGGAAATTAGGGGTTTAACTTTTTTCAGGCTTTTCCCATACACAGGAGGATATAAATTCAGTAGTTTAAAAAGCTAAATTCTGCCAGAAACTTTAATAACTGGACTACAAACCTGAAGGAAAAAAAATAAATAAAATAAATCAGTCTCCAATGCTGCAAAGCTAAAAAAAAAATTTCCAGTAGTTCCTCCTTCCTCTTAACACTCTCACCAACTGATGGAGTGGAAAAGTTTTCAAGGAAGATGCATGACCAGTGGGGAAAAAAAAACCAGTTGTAGGCTGTTGCTTGAAAGTTCATTGTGTGACCCATCTCACCCCTCCCCGGGAGGCAGCAATCCTGGAGAAACACTCCTGGAAAACACTCCCACACCACTCCTTAGTCCCTCTCCGTCACTGTCGTGTCATGTCCTTCTCATTCCCACACACGGTGTTTTTTCCAGCAATTTATCACGTCACCTTCTCCACTCCCCACCTTACACACACACGATGACTCCAGAGGCTGTTTTGGTTCATGCCACAGCAGCAAACCACAGTTTTCCTGTTCCATGGCATGTTTTGAGCAATGTAAACAGCAGATCACAGCAAACAATGCAGCAGCTACCAGGAGATAAAATCCATCCTGGTTCTAGGAGCTCTCAGTGTCTGTCCTTCGGAGTCCTCCTGTTCTTTGCCACTCCAGCCATGCCTCTATTTTGAGGCTCAGAAAGACCTTTCCAGCAAGAGGAAAACCACTCCAGCCACACAACGCCCAAAAAAAGTCAGAAAGAAGGATGCTACCATTGTAAAGCCTTCTCTCCAGTAAGTTTACACAGAAAGGTTGACAGTACTTAGACAAAACTGGGAAATGGCTCCTTTTCCTTCCCTTCCTCCCCCTCCAAGAGCTCTTTTTGCAGAGTCAACATTTTCTCCTGCCACCTCAGCAAGAAAATTTCTGGCAAGCTCCATTGAAGGCTGCCAAAGCCCATCCCATGTCTGCAGGAAAGGTGCAGATCATGTGTTTCAAATGCCTTTTGGAGTGGCACAATTATCCCAATAAGGGTTCCTATTGAAGCCATTTGGAGCCAAGCCAGCTCACACAGCTCAGCACTCGCACCACAACTGCTGCTGTGGAGCTGCCAGGGCTATCAAGGAGGAAAATTTTCCACTGGAACAACCTACCTCTCCTGAAATCCTTAATCAGCAACAAGTGAGAGAATATTTAATAAGAAACAAGGAGTAAAGGAAGCATGATTTCCTCAGCTCCTCAAAGACCAGGGAAGTCCTCCAAAAGGTGAACCAGCCAAAAGGAGCTGAGGTCCAGGTAAGCCTTAGATGACAAGGGACATTTTGTCCTCTCCTTTCTTGGTTCAGTCTTGCATTTCATTAAAAGTCATCAATAAGCAGCATTACAAACTCTCACTCATCTGTTTCAAAGCCTGCTTACATTCTCTCTCTGAAGTGGGGCCAATGTCACTGTGGCCAAGTAGTCACAGACAAAGAAAGTGAGGGAAGGCAAAACTCAAGAGAAACACCTTTCTACACAATAAAAGAGCTGCACAGAAACTCAAATTTTCTTTGCAAGTCACAGGCTGACTCTCTGTAACACTTCATGAATTGGGAAAGACTATCTGCCAGCATTTCCAGTTAAGGATCCCATGGGGAAGGCAAGTACTGAAATAATTCACCAGTCTGAAGACAATTCCTATGGCAACAGCCTTAAAAATTCAGCAACAGAAACTGTTTCAGACACTTGTTGAAGTGATAGTGAAATCTGTGCCACAGCCCCAGCTTGTCACAGAGCAACAGCTCTTTCTCTGTCTATCTACTTAATTCATAGAGGATTGTCATAATCCACTAAGACTTTTGTAATGAGTAAAAGAAACCAATAAACCTACACAATAGCTGGAATCATTAACATCTGTCTTTTGAAAAGTGACATCATGGAAGGTTGAATGCCTTCCCACACAGGAAACACCAAAGAAAGCAGACATAGGAAGAAAATTAAAATTAAAACTTTTATTCTGGTGAAGTGTCCAGTTGTACAAGTCTTTCAGAGCAAACAAGAGCAGCCTTCAGTGCTCACAGGGAAGGTGCTGTTGCTCAGCTGCCCAAACAATCCCACGTACAAAGTGAATGTCATGATTCTGAAATGTTACACCAACTGCAGGTCCCAGCCAAACCACAGCCCTGCTTGTCCATTTACACAGTGGGAGTGAACCATGTTTAAGCCATGAGTAGTGACTTATTGAAATGGACACATTTGTCAGCTGTAAAGATGACTCAGGCTCAGTAGCCCCCTCCTCCAGAAAAACTCTTCCATTGTCAAATAAAATTCCTTTAAAGGAAATGGAGGAAGTGATGGAAAATTCCAGGAATCCTAATTAAGCCTTTGTGTGAACTCACACAAAGTTGACCTTTGCCATTGGGGTCCAGCAATTCAAGTGCTACTACTTTTGAAACTGGATTTTGGATATGAGATTTCTGGAGGATTTCATACTCCCAAAGCAGTTTAACATTAACCCATTGCCACAGTTGGAGGGAGAAGGGTCTGACTCAAACTTTAATAATCCTGCCCCATTCCAGCTGTGCTTTGTACACTGTTAGAATGAGGTAGGACAGAAAACTCATTCACTTTTGGCACATCCTTGGGAAAAGTACATTATCCACTGTGGCCAAACAGTAGAGTTAAAATGGAAGAAAAACTTTAAACGTGAAGCTTAAGCAATAATTTTTCTAGTCAACACCCCCACAGTCTTACCTTAGGTGACCTTCAGAGCAGGTGACTCTACTTACAGTATGACAGTGTAGTCTGGCAGTGAGAAATCACCCCAGAAGTTAGGAAATCCCTCCATGGTTTAAAGAAAAAAAATCCAAGGGATGAGTTGGCTTCAGGCAGGCACTGCTACAAATACACTCCAGGGAGCAAGTGCCTCTGGGGAGATGTTACATCAACAGATCTATAGAGAAGGCACAGCTATTGATGTGGGGGGGAAAAAGTTACTCCTCCCCTGAAGGAGGGCTAAAAAAAAGTTTAAAAATCCAAGGAACTCAAACCATGCGAGTTCCATTCTAAAGCAGGAAAAGAGGTAAGGAAAGGAAACAATGTCACAGACTAGGAATCAATAAAATTTGAAGTTTTTTTCCAGACAACTCATCCTCTGTAAAGGATGTGTTATTGTTCTCAAAATTCCTGGAATCAATTGTTAAAGAGGAAAAAAAAAAATAGCTTAATGTGGTTCAGCAACAGAAAGCCACTTAATACTATTTACAGTAATGAACACCAAGAACTTTAATTAAAATGGAGTGAGCTAAATGGAGTGTATAAATGGTAATAAGAAAAAAAAAAAAAAAATGAGGTAGGCTATTAAAAAGAAGTGACAATTAAAATGAAAGACCAGCACATCATGAAAGATACCGGTAACAGCTATTTAACCACTCAGACTGACAGAGTAAAATACTTCCAGCTGCTAAATTAAGTGGAAATCAAATAATAAAATCAGAAAGTAATATGAAACAACAACTTCGGCCAACATTCCAGTGCATAGTGTCAGAGTACAGCACAATTTTACACATTTCATAGGTTTGGTATTCCTTGCCTTTCAGCTGGTTCAAAATAATTAATTGCAACTTATCACTTTTTGGGGTATTTAGCAGGAAAGGTAAAGTGCATGTCACTAACCTTCAATCCTAACATGGGATGAGCATCCTTGTGATTTCCAAGAACTTGTTCAGCTCAGAAGTGCTATTAAGGAAACAGGTGGGTTTAATTAAAGTTGTTGTATGGTTTAGCAGCTAAATAATAATCTGGTTTGCTACTGTTTTGAAAAGCTTGTTAGAACAAGACACTGACCAAGGCAGTGACTGTCTGCTTAACTGAATGCACCAATCTGTGTCAGAAATAAACCCCCTAAGCTTCAGTCTGATGGACACTTGAAGGAAAATACAGAACATTCATGGATTGAATAATCCATGCAAGTGGATCGCAAGTGAGGATGGATTGTTGATGTAAGGACATCGCTCACAGAATGAGAAATCCAGAAAAGTCTGGGAAGTGACTCGCTCTGCTGTGGGGTTAAGTTTTGCAGCAGTCCTCAGTGATAAACATGTTCAGGACTCATGATCTAGATCATATCCTTGAAGTTTTAAAGCTTTTTCCATTTCATCATACGAGACTGATACTCTGGAATTAAAAGGGAGACCAAGCAGCACATATCAGAAGTAAACAAGATTGCTGTCTTTCAGATTGACAGTGTATTTGTTCCACCTGTTTCCCAGTACAAAATGTTATCAGACTGCTCATCTCCATTCTGCCACACAGGAAGCTCTCAAGCCCCAGCAGCCAGAACCAAAAGAGGTAAGCTTGGACTATTGCAAAAGCAGCACATAGCTGGCATTTTCATGCACGTTCAATTACCAGCTAGTTTTACAATCACTTTGCACACCTCAGGCCCAGGGCAGTCTCTACTCAGGAAGCAGCAGGAGCACAGCACTGTGACATGGTCAGGAACTGGAGGTAGTACCTCCCTTCTGGCAGAACAGCCTGTTGTTCACCCATCCTGCTGGGACAGAGCTGTTCAGAAGGCTTGCAAGCTTCTAGAAGCACTGCAGCACACTTTCAGGAGCTGCTTATAGAAACTCTAACCCAGCTGTGCAAAGTTTAGGTTGTATAACTAAGACCACACCTGCAATCAAGAGTCAAAGCACTCATCACCAATCTAGACATCCTGGAGAAATCTCACTGCTCCTGTGAGCCAGGTGAAACTCCCAAGGGGTGCTTTGCCCTTTCAGCCCTTCCTGCTCTATAACATGTGTAATGAAACAGTCACCCAGTGGCCTTGAATAGCAAGCAGAGTCCACGTCTCCATTCAGTGGCCATTATTCTCCGGTGCTATCTTTTAGCACAGACTAAGGAAAAAAGTTTCCTTCACCATCCAAACAGCTCTCACATCCACCACAAGGAACTGACTGGAAAACAGCATTTCTGTAGCTAAGCCTGGAGTCATTCCTGTTTTATTCAGGAAACAAAGCCCACCTAACAACTTCTGTCTTTTCTGCAATCCAAAATGCTCAAGCAAATACAAATACAATCCAATCAGCATCAGTCCTTCCCCATCCTTTCAGCTGCGGCCCCAGCTCTAACACAATTTCAAGACACTAACTCTATTAGAAGCCAGGAAAGCTTTTACAGTACCTTGCCTCCCAGATGGAGATTTAATTATATTATCCCCTGGACTGTTTAGATGTTTCATAATGAATGGACTAAGGGAAGCAAGATTTACATTTTTCTTAAAAGCAGTTTTATAAACAGATCTCCTGATTTTAATGTAGCTTTATTTAAGCATGTGAACATCAATAAATCCAGAGTCCAGTTAACATTGTTCATGGTTTCAGCATATTTAGTATATATATATTTTTCATATCTTACATCTGATGAAGAGAGCCACACTGTGCCCTATTGCCCGAACATCCACGGGATCACCACAAGCCAGGTGTTAAGCCAGGGCACTCGCTGGCAGATTGTCAGGAATCACTCTGGAGTTGGATGTAGCTTCCCCCTTTGTACACATGGGAGGCCTCCAAACTTCTCATGCCCCAGCTTGCAGCACTGCACCTTGGAGCCGACCTGTTGGTCTGATGCAGAGTTACAACCAGGACCTGTAGGTCCAGGCACTTCCTCTTCCTTCTGACAGAAAAACCAAGACCTTTGTGTCCCGGAGGCATCTTAACCACCCCACCTTAAGAACATGATAATCAGCAACTGTTACACATTATCTACCTCTGCCAGCCCAGAAGATTGAGGGGTCTTTTGACAAATACCACCAAACAGGTCAAACTTGTTTCAGTAAAGGCTGCTCTGTTTTAGGAAGTCAGAAGAGCTTAGTCCACAGAGGATTTTTATTCTTTTCCTTAACACTGAGGCAATGAAAAGGGAAGGAACAAACAATAGGACAAGATTTCTTTTCCAGCACCAGGTTCAATCAGCATTAGCCTCTTATTTAGGTCAAGAGATGTAACAGGAACTGACAGCTGTTAAAGTGAGAGGAACAACAGAAGAGAACAATCAAGCAGCTCTCTAGACTGTGCCCATGCAAAACACTGGCAGAGCACTGAACAATTTAAATTAACAACTTAATTTTGGGAGAAGGCAGAATTGGGGACAAGAGGTGCAGAGGAAACCCAAATTTCCTCTCCAACCCCATGAGAGCCCCTGACACACTGGCCAGTTTTACATTTCTGCTTGATATGCAACAAAATACCAGCAAATAAAACGTAACTTGGAACTAAAAGCCAGAAGCAACTCAATGCTTCTGAGAGAGTAGATTAGACAGTCCAACCGCTTTTTATCCAGATCTCCCACCTGCACTATAACCATCATTTTCACAACAGGCTAAAGGTCTGGAACTGTGTCAGTTAGTGCCTCCAGGACATCAGCTGGAGAAGGATGCTGTGATCTACTCACCCAAACAAGTGACTTGAAACCATTACAGTAGTGCAATCTTAAGGGATTGGTTCCTTCTCCAGGGGCAGAGAAGATGGGGAGTGTGCAAAGGGGAAAGAAAACTAGTAAAAAAATTCTGCCTTCAAGCAGCTGCGAGATGTTTATCTCCCAAATCCTAATGCCAGCATCTAGATAAAATTAGCTGTCTGTGTCCTATCCCATCCCAATCTGGGGGCTCACTCACTGAATCCAAGTCCGAGGGGAGCAGTACCAGCTGTCCCAGAGATGGAGGTTCAAGAGGTTTCCTTGTCTCTTGATCTTTGCTTGCAGGACACTGGACTCCCTCGGTCCCTGACACATATAAGCCCTATTAGGAGCAATGCAGCAATCCCTACATTCATTTTCTCCTCTGTTCAAAAGTCATTTCTTCTCACCAGCACTATCCACCTCACCCCAATTCCTG